TATCTGGGTCAGGATGTCTCATGAAATTGAACTGAATTGTAGCTGGTGTGAGCACACACACACACACACACACACACACACTCTCTCTCTCTCTCTCTGCCCCTCCCAGTCCTCGCCATGGGGTACCGGCACAGCCCCGTGTTCACCCGGTCTGGCAATGCAGCCAGGAGCCACAGGGCACTGGAGCAGTGGCAGGAAGTAGGGAAATGGCTGGAGGTGGGGCGGGGCTGGGCTGCTTGGTCCTGCTGCAGGCTCCCCCTGGGCCTTCCTGCCCCTGGCATCTGTCATCTTTGACAGGCAGCCACAAGCAAATAATTATTAATTTTCTACATTTTTTAGGGGCCCCACAGGCCAAATAGAATGGCCTAGTGGGCCGGATCTGGCCCATGGGCCATATTTTGTCCACCTCTGCTCTAGGAGCACTGCAGCCAATAAATGTCCCATTTCTGATGCTTCAGAGAGAGGGAAAAAAACCCTCAGAAGTTAGTAATGAATGAATGGGGGGAAATAATTTCTTCCCAGCCCCTAGAGACAACCATCAGAAGCCCCGGAGCATAGGATTAATCAATATACAACAAGTATTATATTAATATGTAAAACTCAAGAGGAAAGATGCTGAGCAAGGGGAAAAATCCCAATCCAGAAATAGCCATCATGGCCACCCATTCATGCCTCATTTGCATTTTCAAATTGTAGAATACAGCATATCCCTAAAAACACAAACTAACCTCAGGAATCTCAGGATATTGCAAGGTTATCATGCCAATGCAAAAACTACACCAGTTGCTCAGTCTTTCTTTATTGCTAGGAAACCAATTCAACCTGGGACCACTTTCTTGAGTTTCAGTCTCTGTCACCAGGTCCTGTCCTGTCTATCACTGAAGTTAGAGCCCTACACTGTTAGCCAACTTCCTTACAGGTGAGCAGCCCACACAGTGATCCAGTCTCTTTTCAACCCCCTTTGGCTTTCTAGCAAGCTGAATAGCTGAAGCCTTGCATCACAAGCTTTAATTACTGATTCTGAGATCATTCTTATCCAGTCAGAATATCCCTTACATGAAGTTAACAAACTCTGTTGTGAAACAATTTAGGTTCTATGCCACCACTATCATTTCAGACGTCCACTTCAGAACTTTACTCTCCTGATGGTTAGAAACCTTTTTCTAATTTCCAGTTTAAGTGTATTCACTACCAGTTTGTTCATTTGATCTTGTATCAATACAACATGTTTATAAAGAGTACTAATATCTCCTCTATATAGCTTCCATTTTGATACACTTGTTTAACCTCTTCATATGAGCCTCTATACTAATATAATTGTATAGAACAAAAAAAAGATAATATGGTTATGTTGTTTTATTGCAAAGTACTTTAGAATATTTATGCAAATAATAAAAAGTAAATGTTGTTCTTCTAGGAGACTGATTTCCTTTGTCTTGATGGAGATGAATACAGTTTTGAAAACAAAGATAGTTTATTACATGAGCATGATGAAGACAATGAATATCCATTACCTTATACAAAGCAAAAGGAACTAGAATCAAAGGAGTTGAAAGATGAACTCCAAAAGCATGCATCCTTCCAGTGGGATCATGAAGTTGAGTTAGATCCTGCAAATGATGAAGCAGATATACCATCCAGAGATCATCACATGCAGGAGGAGACTACAAGCAATGAGATGTCCAGAAAGGACAGGAGTGGGAATGGTGATGCTGTCCATCCAGAAGCTCAAAGCCCATCAGCTCCAACACAAGCTACCTGGACTGTCTCTAGTGTTGCAAGATGGCTTAACCTAGGAAGTAAACATGATGAAGAAACTACTGAAAGAGTTAGTAAGTCTGTAGAAGAAAATACATTCAGAAGCAGAAAAATAGCAGTAGCTGGTGAAAGTGACTTAAAAAAGCTAAATGAGGAAAATGAACCAAAGCCCATGGTTTCTGGCTGGTTTCAAAGTGGATTGACAGACTTTCTGTATTTTAGTAGAGAGAGGATAGGCCATGATTTGCCCTCTGATGAAAATGATCCACAAGCTCATCACAGCTCTAGAATGGGTGGACATTCTGATCATGAACTTAGAGCTGCAGCTACAGAAACATCAATGGATGAAGAACAGCAACAGCGTGACAAGGAGGATTCTGACTCAAGCTGGTTTAATTTGGAGTTACCTGATGTTTTAACTTTTGGGCATGCTAAGAAAGATGAAACTATAATAAATGAGGAGCAAAGCAGTGAAGCAGAGGATACAACAGATAAGACTGAAAAAATGCAGACCTCCAACCAACAAGAAACTGAATTTCACGAGGATGGAGAATTAAAAAAACAACCAGAAGATGAAACAACAGATGAAAAACAAACTGACAAGAAAAATGTTGTACAAGAAATAGTAGATTCAGACAGTAAAACACCAAGTTCTGGGGAGCTACCAACAAACAGAGATACTCTTCTTGACTTCAAGAGCACTTCAGATTTAAAGGAGACATCTTTTGCTGCAGAAGTAGCTGAGAGAAACAAACTAATTGAACCTTACAGCTCAGAACAAGGTTCAGTATCAGAAAGCCAAGTTTTGAAAAATACTGAAGTTAAGAAGAGAACTCAGGAGTCAGAAAACAAAAATGGCCAGTCAGGTTGGTATAAAAATATCTATAGTAACTTTATTAATTTAAATAAGGATTTTTCAGATAATCAGGATCATGAATCTGTGGTTGTTCAGAGCGCACAGCAATCAGTTCCATCCTGGATTTCATCTTTCCCTAGCTCACTTCAGAGCTTAGATCCCATGGCTACTAAAAATTCAGAAAGAAAAAAGGATGAAAGGTATAAAGGACTGAAACCTCTACTCTCTTTTAGTTATTTTACAAACAAACTGAACTTTCAGAGTTCAGCAACTGAAGTAGAGGAATATGTGCAACCTGCACAAGAGGATTTAAGTTTTAGTGAAGAACACCCCCAAACTAAAAACAGTGACAAAATTTTACAAGTAAAGAGACTGCAGAGAAGTTACAAGCAGATCAGAAGGTTAGTGAAAGAGTGCAAGAGAAAAGAGATGTAGACATGTCCCAGGAAAGTGTGTGGTTGTTTCCATTATCAGTGCAAGGCAGTGGAAAAATAATACATTATGCCGAATTGGAAAAAGATTATGATACTTCAGCCCTTTTATCTGTAGAATCCCAATTAGAGCCTCTGGTCTCCCAAGTGCCATTCATACACCATTTTAAACATTTAAAATCTGAGAGAGATGTTTCTACAATCAGTGTAAAAGAGGAATGTTCTAATATAAAAAGTAATTATGATGTCCCTGTCTCAGAGGATCAGCAACATGTATCTTCAGAATTAAATAGAAAAAATACAATAGATTCACTTCTGCGTGAATGTAGTAGTGAAGATTTTTATTCTAGTGAACTGTATGTTGTATCAAAAGAAGAATCAACTGAAAGAAAAGAAGCCAAAACATATAAAAAGGAAGAAATGCACACTTTAAATGTTCAAGAACCTGAAATTCACACAGAGAGGAAACCAAAAAGGGAAATACCTGAAACAGCACAAAAGGAAGGACAGAATGACATAAAAACAGAAGATTCAGAAGATGAAATGCCACATTGCAGGGAACTGCAGGTACATGTAGATGATTCTCAGAACTTCAAGATCCCAAGTAAAGATGAATTACCTCTTACTCTGGCGATATCAGACAAAGCCAAACTAACTGAAGTTTACAATACAGAACAAAATCCAGCTGTGGAAAGCTAAGTCATAGGAAACACTGAAGTCAAAGAAAAAACACAGGCATCAGAGAACAAGAAAGACCAGCTAGGTTAATTTGACAGTATCCCTAATGTCATCACAGATTTTAATTTGAAAATGTTGAATGATCAAGAGGAGCAGGAACCTACAATTTCTGAAGAGGCACAGGAATTGGTAGGAGCCCACCTTTTCTTTTCTTCCAGCTCACTTCATGACACAGACCAATCTGACATCAGAATTTCAGAGGAAGAAAAGCCTGAACATTTTGAAGAACCTCAGTCTCTCTTTTCTGTTAGTCATTATAAAAACATACTAAGTTCTCAGAGTTTCACAAGCAAAGATAAGCATTTTCTGCAAAGGCTGCCAGAGGAACTGTACTTCAATGGTAAAAATAGCCAGTCTAGAAAAGATGATGAAATATCACTAGAGAATAAAGAATCTGAAGAGGAAACCCAATCAAATCAGAAGGTTAATGATCAAGTACCATAGAAGAGTAATGTAGATAATTCCAAAGAAAGGATTATTCTACTGCTTCAGTTGGCAGTTAAGGAAGATGGACAAAATAGTGAAAGCACAATGAAAGAAAACAAATTAGTAAAAGATTGTTTGGTTCTTTCATCTGCAGAATCCAGGTCAGAACGCAATGTAGACATTTTTTTTACATATCCAAAGTGTGAACAACACAGTACTATGGGGAGTGAAAGTGAACTGTTCTCTATTATAAAAGATAACACTGACATTTCTGTTTCAGAAGACCAGCACCAAGTATCATTAGGGTCAAAGATAAATATAGGAGATGCACCAAAGCAACATGGATCCTTTATGGAAAAGTCTTCTAAAGAAGAAAATAGTAAAAAGAAAGAAAAGCAGGATTATTTAAGTGAAAATATTTTGGAGGCTAATTGCCACGAACTTGGTAGCAATCGTGTTGCTGATACAACAAGCATAAAAACAATTAAAACTTCTGGTCAGTCATCTTTAAAATTTAATGAACTGATATTAAAAAAATAATTTAAAACATAAAGTACAGGAGCACTATGTTGTAGACTCCGAAGAAGGAGAACATGCTGATGTGAAATATAATGAAAATCCGGAAAAGGGCTTGTATAATGTTTCACAAGATTTGGTAAAAAATATTTTTTTCCAGAGACTCAAATGATGACAGTATCATGTTAAAGGAAACTGTAGTGAATAGGGAAGATGTAAATTGGTTCTCTCAAGACAGAGTAAAACAGACAAAGACTTTTGCAGAACGCACTGCAGACTCCAGTGAAGATAAATTAGAACCCACTGAGCAAATATTAGAAAACAATAAGCCAAATAAACAAAAAAGTGAGAAAATAGGACAGTAAGGGTCTGCAAACTTCTGTGCTGTTTCCACAGGAGAAAATAGATGAAGAAACCAATGAAAGAAATGGCATCTCAAATCCAGGGAATAATATTCTGATAATCCTAGAATTACTGAAGACTCATTATCAGAAAATATTCTTCGCGATCAGGTCCTGCATGAGCAAATTATAGCACTCAATCTTAGTTTTTCTGAAGAGGGACTAAAATCAAGTCATAAGAAAGATCCAGTAGAAATAGCGCTGGCAGACCCATCTTTCCAACATGAGCTTCTGATGTCAAAGTGTGAGTCTGAGGAAAATACTAATTCAGATCCTAAAAAGAAATGTAAAAATCAACTGCTGCATAATAAAAGACAAAATTCCATTGTATCGTCAAATGTAGAAGTGTCCACATTCACCAGTCCAAATCATAACAAAGATACAGAAAACATAAATACAGAAAATGAATCTGAAGACCAGAAAATACCATCAGATTCGCATTCAGATGACAATGTAGCATCAAAATTTTTTGATATATCAGAATTGAAAATCTCTGAACAAAATGTAGTAACAACAGAAACATCACAATCCTATATACTGTCTCATATGGAACAAAAACATATATTCCAGGAACACTATAGTATAGTTGAAGAGTCTGAAAGCAGCAGCCCAGCATTACATTTAGAATCTTTTAAGTCTTTCAAATGCAAAGCCAGACAGCATTTAAAAACCATGATGACTCTGATTCTAACAAGCCTTTTTCACCTACTTCCCCTTACTATGATTCAGCTCACAAACCCATAGAACATGCACCTTTGCAAAGTGAGCAGAGCTTGGATACACTCCATTTAAATATAGCTCTGAATAATAAAACTTATGTTGAAAAGGAAGATGCTATTCCAACTAAAACCATAAGTCATATAGAAAAATTAGCTGCTTCTGAAAAACCAAGCAATTACAAGGAAAACTACAAAAAAGATACTGAAAGTCAGGCAAACACAGAGTCCATAAATATAGATAATAAAAATGGTGCCCAGACAGAGGAGGTAGTAGATAGTATACTTACTAGAACATCGTGGTTTCTTGGGAGTTTATTTGGTAAAACTAATAATCACAACTCTAGAAGAAATACCAAACAAAATTTTGTCCAAGACTCAAATGAAAATGGGGAAGATATTAGAATAAATAAAAAACAAATTAAAAAACGTGCTAAGGAATGAGGATGAGTTGAGAGAAAATTAATCAGAACAAGACAGAGACAGCATTCAAAAGCTGAACAGCAGAGATCCTCTTACAATGCTGAAAGATAGAGCTGAGAAAGAACTACTTGGCACCGAGGAAAAGAATATTGCAGCAGACTTGAGAAACAATGAAAAAGAAACTGACAACACCATAACCTGGGAGAGAGAATCAGTGTCCCAGGAAATAAAAAAGGATGACCAAATATTAACTGATAGTGACTCAGATGTATCCAACCCATTCACTGCATACCAACAATTTTATTTAAAGTTGTTTCTGGAAAGGAAGAAACCTTCAGAGAGTCTGTGTGAAAGTGAGATATTGATCCTGCTGGAGCAACAGTTTGAAAAGACTCATCATGGAATCTCAACTTACACATGTGTAGATAATTTCAGGGAGAGAAAACCACTGACTCTGTCTGTTGAAGATGAACCTCACTTGGACACTGTGGGTGATAAATGTCTGAAGGAGAAAGTGAACATTCTTCTAGAGCTACAAGAACTTTGGTCAGCTGTGAGAGTAAAGTGTAGTCTCCAAAATGCACAACAAGGTACTGGACTGCTGTGTTACTAACTAAAGATAGTAAAGCAGGAACAAAATGTGCTCTCTGAGAGGAAAATAACGTATGGCACACTTCATAGTATTTATTTTCAGTGTTTTAAAAATCGAGGCTAATAGCTGTTAATAGGTTTATGGGAGTCTTTCTTTTGACTTCAGTGGCCTTAAAATCAGGCCACATATTTCTATATTTTTTAGGAATACATGGCTCCCTTATCCCACACTGTTACAAATGGAATACTTGTAAAAATAGTAAACCATGTAGGTAGCTACTTGAGAAAATTCATAGTTATTCCAAAGATAGTCCATCTTGTTTAGGTTCTGTGGGCCTAAAATGAAGCTCATTGAAGTGTATGTGAGTCTTTCTTTTGACTTCAGTGGGCTTAAAATCAGGCCACATATTTATATACTTCATACCTGATCCTAGTCACCTTACTCATTATTCCAGAAAGGTGTTTAGTTCAAATATTAGATCAAATAGTCTAAAGCCTCTAATATCATGGCCAAATTTTAACACTCGCAGTGTAACACACTCAAAGGTATATACAAGCTGAGTAATTAGAAATATATAATAGATACCCAAATCTAAATTACATGTGCCCAAACCTGAGTTTAAAATGGAAATGTGTGCTTTAGAAGCCAAACTGAGACTTTGAAAATATGGTCTATTTCTTTACTACTTTTTTAACTCCTTTCTGAGGCAAGAATTTAGACTAGTATATCTGGATTAGCTGCAGTTTTCTATAATCTACTCATTTCTGCCTGGAATAAACTCATATTTCTGCCTGGTCACTTTTCGTAATATCTTGTCATACAGTGATATCAGAAGAGTACCTAATGACTCAGGATTCTGTATATTAATTATGCTGATTTTGCCCTGCAGAGCATGGTGTCTAAAACTTTTTAAACAATTGGAACTGTTTCAGTGTCTTGCCCCTTTCTTGGCAAGTTGCAAGTGAAAAAGTCTAGAGTTTGTCTTTGAAAATGAGGAGAAAATCAGAAATCAAAATAGTGATGTACTGTGAAACAATCCTATAAAAAATTACAGAAGAAATCATTGATGAAAACGCTGAAAATGAATATTAATTTTTTGCAGATATATCCAATAAAATAAAATTACTAGAAGAAAGAAAAGAGAAACATCGCATAAATACACCTTTGAATAATGAAAATAATAATGCCCAAAGTTCAGAAGGTATAATAATTCCATTAATAAAAAACAAGGAGAAAATCCATGATTCAGCAATAAATATTCAGTTAGGTGCCAAAAAGCTGTTCACAGAGATGTCTTTCCTGATTCAAAATTACATTCCCAGTGATGGTAAGTGTGAAGTTACTTAATTTAAGCAAGATTGCAAATTTAAAAACAAGTAGATGAAAGTGTTAACAAGACTAATTTGTAACATAAAACATCTTCTTCCTTTATCAATGAAACAGAAGAAGGCTGGATATATCAGATACTCCTGCGTTTGAATGATCTTGACATTGGCGACTTTATAAAATCTGTATTTTCAGTAATGGCAACTGTAAGCAGAAAGGTAAGAGTTATTTGTTATTTGTTTTCTTTACTTTTTAAAAGGGAAATTAGACCAGATTCCATTTCATATTATATTCTGTACTGGAACTGGTGCTGGATCTGATAGCAAAATTTGGCAGAGATCTTTAATATGGCCTTTCCTTAATGTTGAAGAAACAGTTGAGTAGACCAAAATTTTTAAACTTGACCACTGGGATACTTGATGCCTGACCACTCAGGAGATATGGCAGGTATACAGCAAGAGAGCTGCTATTTCCTTTTGACCTTTTTCACTTCTGCTGCTACTATGGGATCCACTACAGGGCATTGTATGTTCAAATGTATGCTTAAATATATGCATCTGAAGATAACACAACAATTATTCAAAGTGGTAAAGGCCAAGGCAGACTGCAGGGAACTACAGAAGGATCTGGCACTATTGAGAGAATGGACAACTAAATGGCAGATATAATTCAATGTCAATAAGTTGTAAAGTGATGTATGTAGGCAAAAATAACCCAAACTGTACCTACACTGGGATGGACTCTACATTAACTGTTACCACATAGAAAAGAGATATGGGAGTCATTGTGGACTGTTTGCTAGAAACATTGGCTTAGTGCTCAGCAGGCATCAAAAAGACAAATAAAAGTTTAGGAATTATTGAGAAGGGAATTGTAAAAAAAGCAACACCCTCCCCCCCGAAAGTATCATTATGTCCCTTTATAAATCCATGGTGCATCTACACCTTGAATACTGTGCCCTTGTTTGATCACTACACCTCAAAAGGAAGAACCTGAGAAAGTACAGAGGAGGACAGTGAGGATGATTAGTGGTTTGGAGGGGATTCCATATGAGGAGAGACTAAAGAGGCTAAGCCTATTCAGTTTAGAAAAGAGACACTTGAGGGGGGCATGGCAAGAGTTCACAAAATACTAAATGGTGAATAGAAAGTAAATAGGAATTTATTATTTGCCATCTCTCACAATGCAAGAATGCAGTCAGGAAGGCCAAGGCAGAGGGGGAACTGGGACTAGCTTCCTGGATTAAGGACAATAAGTCCTTCTTTAAATACATAGGGGGTAAAAAGAAGGTTCTGGGTAATGTGGGGCCCCTGCAGGACACATTAGGAAATGTGGTCGTCACACCAGACAACAAAGCCAACCTATTTAACGATTTCTTTGCCTCCATTTTCCTGAGCAGGGACCGGAACAGTCACCCCCCTTCCAGGCCCCCCTCAGGCCCCAGGGGAGGCACACCTAGGCCAAGGGTTAGTGAGGAACTAGTTAGGGAACTTCTGGAGGGACTGGATATACTCAAGTCAGCCGGTCCAGACAATCTCCACCCTAGAGTACTAAGGGAATTAGCTGAGGTCATTGCGGGACCCCTGGCATGGCTGTACCAGCACTTGTGGTGCTCTGGTGTGGTGCCAGAGGACTGGAAGAGGGCCAGCGTGGTTCCCACCTTCAAAAAGGGGAAGAAGGAGGACCCGGGAAACTATAGGCCAGTTAGTTTTACCTCGATCCTGGGCAAGCTTTTTGAGAAATTTATTCTGGCACATATCCACGAGGGG